GGGGTCGAAGCCCAGTGCAGTGATCTCCAAGCTCAGGTAGTCTTGTTGCGAGGCTATCTTGAGGAATGTCAGTTAAGGGCAGAGGCTCTTAGTAGCGAGGTCGCTGAGAAGCAAGAGGAGTTGGGGAGGGCGGAATCTGCGCGGTCGGAGTCTTTGAGGAAGGCGGAGTCCCTTGAGGTGGTGATCCGGACTCTCCGTTCTGAGCAAGAGAATGATTTAACGATGGCAAATCTCAAAGAAGAGCGGCTAGATAAAACGATTGGGAAGTTAGAGAAATAGACTTCTGATCTCCATGATCGAGTTGCTGCTCTGGAGGCCAAGAAAGCTCAATTACTGGCACAACCGTCCTCTTCCCGCACTTTAGATTTTCCCAATGTTCCTTGGGAGTTATATGAGGAATGGATTCATGCCGAGGCCCAGTTAGATGTCTTTCGAGATTTGCATGCGGTGGGATCCATTTCTGAGGCTGCCCTCGAAGATGTTTGTGTTAAGGCTCGTGAAGCTCGAGTCGCTTGTGGGTATGATCCCGCTACGCCCGAGGCTGATAAGAAGGAGGGGGACGAGGGTATAGACCAGCTTGAGGAGAATGCCTGGTACGATACCGCTTATCCTGAGGGCGAAAGTGGCGATAGCAGCGATGGCGAGGGGGATCGAGATGGCAAAGGTATTGGTGGTCAAGGTAGCAACGCTATTGAGGACCAAGTTGGCGAGGGCACTGAAGGTCGAGATGACGACGACTAGTAGTTTCCTTTTGACTTTTTATGTATTTTTGTCGGCGTCTTCACGAGACTTTGTAAATAGTTTAAGTATGAAATATCAAAGTTGTTCCTTGCATCATTTTCTCTTCCTATGGTTTATTTTATATACTTGTATGTTTTTTGCTTTTATTGTTTGCTCGTTTCTCTTTTGTCTTTCTTATTGTTGCTTGTCTTTTAGCCAGTCGTGGCCTTGGAGACGAATATTCATAGGTCGCGTGTGTTTCTTTGTTGAGATGTGGCCGAGAGCCGATATGTGTTCGTTCGAGCAAGGTCAAACATAACCTTTCATTGAATCGCGACCGAGGGTCGGTAGGTGTTTGTTCGAGCTTAATCGAACATGACCTTTCATTAAATTTTGGTCAGGGGCCGGTAGGTGTTTATTTTGAGCTAGGTCAGACATAACCTTTCCTTAAATTGCGACCGAGGGTCGGTAGGTGTTTGTTCGAGCTGAGTTGAATATAACCTTTCGTTAAATCGTGGTCGAGAGCCGGTGGTGTTTGCTCGAGTGGGGTCAAACATAACCTTTCATTAAATCGCGACCGAGGGCCGGTAGGTATTTTCTCGAGCGGGGTCGAACATAACCTTAATACGAAAAAGGTGTTCTGATAAGCATAATTTTCTTATTGCTTTGAAATCATTGCTTTGGTTACCTACTTGGAGAAAATTACAGATTTTGGGTGATGGCTAGTATTCCAGTCCTAGTCCTAGTCTACCTAGTCCATTCATTGATTGACTTGGAGAGTATTGAGAAGTCGAGCAATGAAATAGTAACAACGGTCCCACCCTCGCGTACTTCGACCCAAATTGTTACCTTCGCCGCATCGTTAAAAACCTCATTGAGAAAACTCAAATGGGATAAAACTCAAGTGAGGAAAAAAGAGTACAATTTGGGGGACGCTTTTTCTCTCAGAAGTTGAAGTATTTGAGGTGGCTGGTGTTCTAGTTGTTTGGTAGTCACTTTTCTTCCATTTTCTCTAGTTGGAATGAACCCTTGTTCGCTATGGCTGTGATTTTGTATGGACCATCCCAATTCGTTCCCAGCTTGCCTTCTCGGGGGTCTTTGCTCACTTGAGGTTTGGCTTTTAGTACATAGTCTCCGACTTTCAGCGGCCAGACCTTTGATTTCTTGTTGTAATAACGTTCTGCTTGTTGTTTTTGGGCAACCATTCTTATGTACGCCATATCTATTCGTTCGTCGATTTCGTTGAGTTCCTACCTTTTGCTCTTATCGTTACTCGTGCCACTTTTGTGGGAGTACCTTAGGCTGGGTTCTCCAACCTCGACCGGTATTACTGCCTCGGTCTCATAGACCAAAAAGTAGGGCGTGTCTCATGTGCTCGTCTTCAGAGTTGTTCAGTGGGCCCATAATACATCTGGTAATATTTCTGGCCATAGTCCCTTGGAGTCTTCGAGCTTTTTCTTCATGATGTTTAGTATGGACTTATTGGAGGATTCTGCTTGCCCGTTTACCCGCTAGGTGATATGGGTTTGAGAGTATCCTTTTGATATGCCATTTCTCGAAGAACTCGGCGGTTCTCTTTCATGTGAACTGGGGTCCGTTGTCACAATTGATTTCATTAGGTAGTTCGAATTGGCATATGAAGTTTCTCCATATAAAGGTGATTACCTCTTATTCCCGTATTTGGGCGAATGCTCCTGCTTCTACCCATTTAGAAAAATAGTCAGTTAAAACCAAAAAGGAATCGTACATTACCTCGCCCTGCTGGGAGGGAACTCACGATGTCCATTCCCCATTTGATGAATGGCCAATGAGAGGTGACTGAGTGGAGGTGTTCACCTGTTTGGTGAATCGTTGGGGTGTACTTTTGGCACTGTTCGCATTTCCTCACGAAGTCTGTGGAATCCTTTTTCATGGTGGGCTAATAGTATCCAGCCCGTATGAGGCATCTGACCAGTGCTCGATTGCCAGAGTGAGCTCCACAATGGCCTACATAGACTACTTCGAGGACGCGCTGGGTTTGGTTCGGGCCCAAATACTTCCCCAGAGGGCCTCCGTAGGTCCTCTTGTATAGGTTGCTATGGAGGAGACCGTATCTGGCCGCCTGTATTCTTAGTTTCTTGGCTTCTTTTTTGTCACCTGAGAGTGTGTCGTACTGCAAATATACGATAATATGACTGCGCCAGTCCCAAGTTAAGTTTATGGTTTTCACCTCGATTTGGTGTAGTGATGAGTTAAGGAGGTAGACTACGCCTTTATCTCCAGTTGTAATGCTTTTGGTAGTTGTGGCCAATTTGGCGAGGCTTCGGCATTCTACGCTCATGGGATCTGATCGAGCTATCATTCGTTGAACACAGGCAATAGCTTGCACATTTCAGTTTGGTATTTTTGTAACCTTTGTTACTTGATTGGGAAAGTCCCTGTGACTTGGTTGACTACGAACTGGGAATCACAATGGAGTTTCAACCGTTTCTCCCCATACTTGAGTGCTTGCCTTAACCCTACAATTACAGCCTCATACTCGGCCTCATTGTTAGTCATATCCGGGACCATATGGACTGGTGAATTACTTCTCCTGTTGGGACCTCGAGTACGAGTCCCAAACCGGACCCTGATGCGTTGGATGCGCCATCGATGTATAGGACCCAAATGTTTTGTGTTTGGAGGAAAGCTTGGACGCTTCCATTTCAACTTCATGCATTATTTTTGCACTGAAGTCAGCGATGAAGTAGGCGAACACTTGTGACTTTATCGTCGTTCGCGGCTGGTATATGATATTATGCTCGCTTAGCTCGATGGCCCATTTGGCCAGCCTCCACGATAGCTCGGGTTTATGAAAAATGCTCCTCAGGGGAAAGGTCGTGATGGCCAAGATGTGGCATTGAAAATAGGGTCTAAGCTTTCGTGAAACTACGACAAGACCAAAGCTAATTTTTTGAGGTGCGGGTATCTCGTCTCAGCGTCGACGAGTGTTTTGCTAATGTAATAAATGGAAGATTGCATACGTTTGCTTTCGTGGATCAAGACTGCACTTACCGCTACCTCGGAGATTGCTAAATAGACGAGGAGATCTGGTTCGATTTTTGAAAACAGAGGCGGTGATGATAGGTATGCCTTCAGTTCTCGTAGAGCCTGGACGCACTCGGGAGTCCATTCGAGGTCGTTGTCCTTCTTGAGTAAGCCAAAAAAGTTGTGGCATTTATCTGATGATCGCGAGATGAACCTAGGGTAGCGATTCGACCAATTAACCTTTGGACTTACTTTTTGGTGGTTAAGAATTCTGGTATCCCCTCGATATCTTTGATTTGGCCTGGGTTGACCTCGATCCCTCGCTGCGACACTCGAAAACCCAAGAACTTTCCTGAGGCTACACTAAACGTGTATTTCTCCGGGTTCAGCTTCATTCCGTACCGTCTGAGTATGCCAAAAGTTTCTTTCAAATGATCGATGTGATCCTCTGCCCTTTCGGACTTGATCAACATATCGTCTATATATACCTCCATGGTCTTACCGAGCTTGTCTTTGAACATGTTTTTTTACTAATCTTTGATAAGTATCCCCCGCGCTCTTCAGTCTAAACGTCATCACCCTATAACAATACGTTCCTTGGTGGGTGATGAACGTGATATTCTCTTGATCTTCTTTCTCTATAAGAATTTTGTTATAGCCTGAGTAAGTGTCCAGGAAACTAAATAGTTCATGCCCGGCTGTTGCGTCGATGAGTTGGTCGATATGGGGCAATGGGAACGAATTCTTCAGGCACGCTTTTTTCAAGTCTACGAAATCCACGCACATCCGCCATTTCCCGTTTTTCTTTTAGACCATCACTACGTTGGCGATCCACTTGGAGTACTTCGACTTCCTAATGGAGCCATTTTCTAACAGTTTTTCCACCTACTCGCGGACTGCATGGTTGATGGCGGAGTTGAATTTACGCCTGGCTTATCTTATTGGGGGTGGAATGGGACGACGTTTAATTTATGTGTGGCGATTTCCTTTGTGATGCCCGGCATATCTACAGGGTTGAAAGCAAACAAGTCTGCATTAGCTATTAAGAATTGACTAAATTTACCTAGTTCTCGGGGTTTGCAGTCGATATAGGCCTTCTTGCTATGGTCGTTGAGGTCTAATTGGATGAGATCGAGGTCTTCTATGGTCAAACATGTAGCCTTGACCATGTCGGGATCCATAATGATGTCCCCAATCTCTTCTTGTTCCGACCTCGACCCTGTTAGTTACTATGCCTTTTTTTCTATCCTTTTTCTGTTGGGTGGCTGTGCTATTCAAGGAAATGCGGTAGCATTCCTGGGATGTACGTTATTCCCCGCGTATGATGAATATTCCCATGGAGTTGGGAATTTGATTATTTGGTATAGGCTGGAGGGGATGACTCTCATGGGATGTATCCATGGTCGCCATACTATGGCGTTGTACGCAGTGTCCTGGTCCATGATATGGAATGTTGTCTCCAGAGTCTCGCTGCTAGTCAGGACGGGGAGTGTAATTTCCCCGGATGTCCACTCAACTGCATTATTAAAAATGGTTATCGTGATGCAGCGAGGCACTATCTTATCCTCGAGTCTCATTTGGGTAAGAACTCGGGGATGGATAATGCATGCACCGCTTCCATCGTTCACCATGATACATTTGACATCAATATCTAAAATGCATAAAGTAATAACGAGGGCATCATTATGAGGAAAAGTCAAACCGTCGATATTGGATTCATTGAAGATGATACTTTCTTCGAGTACGTCGTACCGTTCACGGGTGATAAACCGCTTAAGCTTATAAGGGGTGGTAAACTTCACGCCGTTGATAGAGGCGTCCTCGCCGCCGCAGATGATCATGTTGATAGTACGAGCTGGTGATGGCAAATTTGGCGGGCCTTGATGTTCACGTCCTCTAGCGAAGTTGGTCCTCCCCTTATTGCTTAACAACTCTTCTGAGGGCGATGCAATCTTCTGTTTTGTGCCTGCGTTCCTGGTGGAAATCATAGAACGCGTCGAATTTTCTGGTGTTTGGGTCTGATCTCATCTTCAGCGGACACTTCACTTTTGTTCTGAGTTTCTCAAGAGCGTAGACTATTTCTATAGGCGACACACAAAAATTTTGAGCATTTAATAAATGAGGCATACCTCTTTCGTTCCGATGAGTCCCACTTCTTCATAGTGGAGGGAGGGTGTGGTGGCCGCCCTGACATATGATTGGTGTTGTTCCCTATTAGGTCGTGAAATCAGGTGATCTCTTCTGGTACTGTCTCTTCGTTCTTTCCTGGATTCGGCTTGTACCGAGGTTAGCCGGTGAGTTGGTCTGTTGAGGTCGTCCATGCCTGCTTGGACCTCGGCACAATAAGCATTGTGGATTTCGTCCCAAGTGGTTAGAGAATACTTCATCAATCGGCTCAATAGTTTTCTAGTTGCTATTGAACCATCTCTACTCAGCCCGTTCTGGAAAGCTGCGACTGCCATCCCTTCGGATACGTTCGATAGAGTCATCCTTACTCTGTTGAACCGGGTGAGGAAGTCCCTCAATCCATCTCCCAAGGACTGCTTAATAGCAAATATGTCATTTACTCTTGCTTCGGCCTTTTTGGCTCCGGTATGGGCGATTATGAACTTATCAACCATTTCTTTGAAAGTTTCTATGGAGCGGGTTGGTAGCTGCGAATCCCATGTTAATGCCCCTCCCATAAGGGTTTTCGCCAAACTTCTTCAGCAAAATAGAGGACACTTGTTTCTTGGCGGATAGGACGACATTTTGAAGGTCTTTGGTATGGCACGCGGGGTAGCATCATCGCTGTACGACTGTTCTACAAACCTGCCAGCGTCCCTTTTCGGTAGCATCTTAGGAGCACCCGGTATCTTTTCAACTCGTTATTGATGTTTTTTTATCTGGTCTCAGAGTGCCTTGTTTTCATTCTCTATTTCTTCCATCCTCTTTAGAATGGCAGCGAGGGCGATATCACATGCACTGTCAGTAAATATTGTGAGTTATACCTATGGTTGGAGGGAGGAGTTGGTTGCACTGCTCGTCTGTTTGTTGTATCATGCAAGCCCTTGCGGTTTCTGCAATCATGCCTGGAGCGGGCTTGTTGAGGACACTCGCTAGCGTGTCGGTCAACAATGCTTCGAGGAGTTTTTTCACAGCTGGGGGCGTCCCTTCTTCTACAGACGTGGAGGCCCCTTTTTCGCTGGGTTTTGTTATACTGCAGTGTGAGGGAGGCGACCTCTCTCGCCTAGGGGATGCGTTGGGCGTCATGTCCTCACCTACTGTTTCACAGCTTTCGTTGATGACATTCATGAGCTTGGTTGGGAAGTCACTTGTATTTTTGTCTCTTCTCCTTGGTTACCTACCATGTAGGGTTTTGCACACACAAAGAAAGGAGATCTTAGGGTTTTTGACATTAGTGACTTGCGTTAATTGCATATCTAGAGGAAACTACAAAATTTAACTAAGAAATCCCCACAGACGACGCCAAATTGTTTGACCAAAAAATATAGATCTTTGTTCAACTAATTAAATTTATATAAATGAGGGTTAATCTTAACTAACAATAATATCCCTAAGATGGAGTTCTCGAAAGTGCAACAAATACTACGTAGGAGTATTTGAATAACGGCGACATATGTACTAAATATTCCAGAAATCAAAGGCAATAATGTAGCATTCAATATCAATGAATAACAACAAATGACATTTAAGTAAATAGAATGAATGAGTCACCCAAGAAAGGATAGAATCAATGAATGTTCTTTCTGACAATGATGAGTGATGGGCAATCCTTTGAATATCCAAGTTATTCTCGAATCTAGTAGAAAAGTGTAACCAAGAATCTTAGTGAAAAGATGATATTTGTATAATAGCAATAAGATCCGATTCTCTTTCTCTAGTCATAGTGTATTTTTATAAATGAATATCACATGTCCCTTATCATTGTGTCTCTTTCTATTTATAGGGAACATGTCCTAAAAACTCTAACACTACAAGTTTAGAGAATATTCACTAGAATATTCTCTTTTGTATCCTATCTCGAAACTAGCCGTTACAGCTCTGTTAAGGGTGCTCGACCTCGGCCTCGATGACAACTCCTCGACGTTGGTCTTGCTGACTCTTCGACCGCGGCCTTCACTGATAATTAGATTACTTCGGCACGTGGCATCCCAGGAATGTTTTACTAATACCATTTCGACTAAGATAGATTTTGATCCATACAACCCCTACCTTGAGAAGGTAAAAAGACAGTCTTCGATGGACCCTCGGTTCAAGGAAAGATGAAAAAAGAAACGGTAGCAATAAGTAATAACAACAACAAGATAATAAGAAAACTTAAGCGAAAGAAGCAACAAGTAGTAATAGAAATCTAAGAATATAGACTAACACTAATACTACTGGTATAGAAAAGAAAAATTGCTCGATTACCTACTAACTTTTTACTCTAGTTCTCGGCCTTCACACTCTCCTATATATTAGAGGTTATGTCCTCGATAAGTTGAAGTAGCCTAGGCTTTTGCCTAATTTCCCCTCTCCAATATATTTTTGGCTTACCAACCTCTCCTCACACCTCGTTACTAGGACATCTATGGCTCTCCTCTTCATATGTCCGAACCATCTTAGCATCGATTCTTTCGGGGCCACTCTCAACTTATCCCTAATATTTTCATTTCTCATCTTATCTATCCTAATAAGCCCGCACATGTATTTTCACATTCTCATTTCTGCTAATTCATCTTCGTTTGAGAGGAAAAATCACAATTATCCTCTCTTTTTTTGTTTTTGCTTAAAAAGATCACAAGTCACCGCAATCCACGAAGTGCGAAAGTGAAAAAAGTTTTGAAGCCTATATTCTGGTTGAGATCCCCTCCAGTATTCTTTGGTCCAGTTTTTCTCAATGGACTTGTAGGATACTGCCACGTCTGTTGCCAAAGTTTTAAAGGTCAAGATCTTCCTGACATTCTCATTTAATATTATTTCAAACAAAAGCAAACAACCCATTTCTTAACTTCTGTTGCGAACTTCTGATTGACGCAAGTAACATAGCCCATGATTTTAACTGGTCTCAAGATTTCATTTTTAAAGCTTACAAGTTAGGATTGGATACTTCTCTTAATTCTACAACAATTCTTGTATTTTCTATTTGTTGAAATTGCTTTGACATAGAACAAAATTTCACAATCTCAACAAATTCACAATTTTAAGAGGACAAATTCACAAAAACAAAAATCACCAAAAATTTCTAAAGAAAGTATTTTGAGTCGTAAAGAAAACCACAAAGATGAGGAGAAGAAAGGGCATATGATTTCCAGTCTGAATGAACTGAGGAACGAAGGTAAAGGAAAAGAAGAACGGAAGTTAGGTGGGCTTTTGGACATAAGAGTTAGTAAAATTTCAAAATAGGTGGAAATTTTTTTTGTAAGTAAAAATGATATTTAAAATTTAGAGTTGTGTTTGAACATAAATATAATTTTAGGTTATTTTTGAAGTTTTGTGATTGATTTGAGCGAAAATTTTGAAAATCAATTTTTTGGAATTTTTTAAATTTTTGAAAATTTTCAAAATGCATCTTCAAGTGAATATTCAAAATTTTATGAACAAACGCTGATTTCGAAAAAAAATAAATTATTTTTTAAAAAAATAAAAAATTTTCTTATGTCCAAACGGGCTCTTAAACTATGGATTCATGTATTTACTGTCGTCGAAGTTCACCGTAATGGTCCAAAAACAGGGTTACTGTTTGGATTTAAAATAATACAAAATGGATTATAAATGTCAAGAGGATCTTGGCCTTTAAAAATTGGAAACAGACGTGGCAACATCTTACAAGTCTATTGAGGAAAACTGGACTAAAGAATACTGGACTGAATCCCAACCCCTTATATTCTAATGGGCCAAGGCGACCAGCTGGCTAAGGAAAGACTTTAAAGTCCCAAGATTTTTTCCTTATTTGTACTTTTGCTGACGACCACTCACACCCCACAAAAAGCGTAAAATAATTACTGCGTAGTAATAACAAAATATCCAGCAAAAAATCAACTGATGTTGCCCCCTCTCAAACTCTAGGTTTTTCCAAAGCCATACCTTAATCCCGCGAAATTCAGATCACATCCCCTAACTATCCAATCTTTCATTCAAAATTCTTGTCAATTTAGGGCTCTTTTGTTAATACTGTTGGTGTAGAGTTTGTTTTTTGGGTGTGCTATTGATGATGGCGGGAGTGGGAGAAAAAGAAGTGGAGGAGTACGAGAGCGATCCGGAAGCAAAGATGTCGTTGAAGATGAGGAGGAGAGAGGCAAGTAGTGATGATGAAGAAGGTGAGGAAAAGACAGAAAAGCCCTCAAGGAGGATTGACGACTCTGATAACGATTCAGAGGAGGAGGGACAAGGCGCTGCTGCTGAATACGACGAGGAATACGAATTAGAAGAGGAAGAGTATGTGGAAGAAGAGGAAGTTTATGATGAAGGTAGTGTAGGTAATGAAGAAAGTACTGTTGGTGAAGCAGAAGCAATATTAGGTGAGGAGGATGAAGTAGTAAAGGAAGTAGTGAGGGAATTGAATTCAGGGATGGATGATGGCGACGGCGATGAGGTTGTTGTTGTTCCGGGAGAGGCGAATAAACCGAATGAACCCTATTCTGTTCCCACTGCCGGTGCTTTCTACATGCACGATGATAGGTTTCGAGACAATGCTGCAGCTGCCCCACACAGGTTAATTTGCCCCAATTAGCTTGGCATTGGGACATTGATGTTGTTGTTATTGTTGTTGTTGATATATATTGAGAAATCTTATTTGAGAGAATCGGCTTGTTAGAAGTCAAATAGAAATAAGTGAGCCAAAGAACCTTAATTTTATTTATGACTTTTGTCTTGCACCTTAAACTAAATAGAATCACTTGCACATAATTTTTTGGTAATGGATTATATGCTTTCATGAATTTAAGTTTGGTCTATGCTTAAATTGTATTGTCATAGAAACTTCATCAAAAAAAAAAAAAAATTGTATTGTCATAGAGGCTTCGAGTGCATGTTCTCCCTATGATTTTGAAATTATTAAGATTCGATATGTTAAAGCAGCCAAACTTTGGTAACTTCAACATTCTTGTTATTCAATTCTTAAACTTATGTGCTGATAGATGGCCTAACAAGAGTAATTATTATAGCTGGTACTTTTTTCTTGTATACTTTGGACGTTCAAAAAAGAGAATTAGCAGGGAGGGTGTGCATTGTTTTCTAGTCATTACAACAATATATGTGCCGCCTTTTGTCCTAGAACTTGCTTTGCCAAAAATTTTGTGTTGCAAGCAGATGCTGGCAGGAACGACTTATTATAGAATCCGGGGTAGCAAATTAGTATGTCTAAAAGGTAGAGAAAGAAAGGACTGCAGTTCTGCATTTGCTATTTCTTCTCTTTGTTGAAATATTAGGTCAGACAATAAGATTATCTTTGAACATAACGTGCTTCTTTTGCCCCTTCGTATTTTTCTGCAAAAGAGAAGAGCAGTTAATGCACTCAAACTATATAAAGTGCTACTAAGTTGATTTACTATACCAGATTAATGGAACATTCTGCTCTCTCCCCCACTCCCAATTCACACCTTGTTTTGCTTGATGTTGTGAGTTGTAGTTTTTACTA